CTCTGACTACAAGTGGAAGCCTTGGTGACTGCGTTGTAGTAATCTACACTGTTACTATTAAAAAATTTTTACTAATAAAGATATGAGTAAGGCCTTACCTTAAAAAAAAAAAAAAAAAAAAAAAAGATTTGCAATAAAATATTTTTTTTTATTTGTTGTTGTAAAGTGACTTTAGCTAACGATTAATTCTGTTGCTATTGCACTAAAAGTTTTGAATTGGTAAAATCATTAAAAAGGAGAAGTCGATGCAGCTAAAGTTAAAGTTTTTGCAACTGAATGAATAAAAATTTTTTTAAGATGTTTTAAGTGGTATAATGAAATTATGAAAAATAGAAAAAGAGTATGCTCAAGCATTTAATTCTATAAATATTGTTATTGATTGTGATGCTTGAGCATCATCATATTTATTACTTAATTAATTAATTAAGATGCTTGAAAACACTTCTAGTAAATAATCCTAGCCAATGGAAATATAGGAGAAATTAGTAAATGCATATTTATATATCTAGATATATAATAGTAAAATATGCTAAAAATATAAAAGTACTCGTATAGTATACCTCCTACACACATATTCTGGGTATTAAATAGGCTAAAAAAATACTCCAGATATATATGTTAGGAAAATATGGTACTTAGCAAAGAGCGATAAATTAGATAAATTTTAAGGTTTTTATATATTTAAATCTTATATAAATACAGTATATTTGAATTATAAATATTTATATTTTGATTTAAATCAATAAAATTTTGTTTTTACAGTAGATATACTTTTTTTTTAAAACCAAACTTTGTTTATTAATAAAAAAATGGATGCATTAAAGCAATTTATATACAAATTTATTTTGCAAAATACACATGAAAACATTTCAGAAATAATTCTAAATTCAAATAAACATAATATTTGTATAATATGTCAATCTGAAATTAGTCTAACTATAGATGCCAGTGAAATTGGTGAAACTCTTGGTAAATTGTAGTAAAACTGATAAAATTGATAAAACTTAATATAACATCCAATCAGATTTTAGATAGTCACCAGTTTCACTAACATTATTTAATTTCACCAACATCTATAAGTCTAATACTTTACAAACCAATTACAATCTTACCCTGTTATCATTTTTTTCATACCAAATATATTAATATTTGGGCTTCTGAATCAAATATTTTTTGCCCTATTTGCAAAAATAACAATTTAGAAAACTCATCAAACTTATCTGCAATAATTACTAGTAATTTTGCTACACCTGTTACCAATATTAATAATTCTGCTACACCTGTTATTAATGCTAGTAATTTTACTACATCTTTTATCAATACTAGTAATCCTATTACTCATACCACCTTTAATAATCCTGCTACTAATATTATTACCACCTCTAGTAATCTTGCTATCTATATTGCCTTCAACTCTAGTAATTCTGCTAGTAATTTCTCTATACTTACTAACTTTAATAATCCTACTTATAGTAGTCCTGTTACATCTACATCTAGTAGTCCTGTTACATCTACATCTAGTAGTTCTGTTATATCTATATCTAGTAATATTGCATCTGTTAATACTGCTGCTATAATACAAGAAATCAATTTTCAAGAAATTCTCGCTGAATTAATTACTCCTAATAATGAAAATGAAATGTCTATAGATAGTAGTAGTGAAGAAGAAAGTAATAAAAACAAAATATTAAGTTTATCTATACTTTACAATAAAGCAGAATATTCAGAAATGCAAGCAATCTTGACTATAGAATGCTACTCAGCGTAGAGAATGTAACCTACTTCTGTATATCTAAAGGCACCAATTCGGGCTCTGGTCACACCTATATAGAAGTCTATGATGAAAAAAAGTTAGGATTTACTAACATTAATGCGATATCAACTAGAAATAGCTAGCTGGAAGTAATTTAGCTTGCTACTTAAGTAATTTCATGGTGTTAGGCTGGTCTTTAACAAGATAGATCATTAAAGCAGAATTACAAAAATAGCCAATGGCTGGAAGTGTATAGCCTTATAGTTGCTGTGCAACTTAAGGAGTCCTCACGAACTATAGTCCTGACAAATACCATATAAGGGAGTACTTAGGGTAGTAAGTAGTACACTGTATCAGATAACTTAAGAAACGCTAAAACCTGAAGACAGCAAACCGGGCGGTGGCAGCAGGGACCTGGCTTGAGATACGAGGATAGTATACCTGGGGATACAAGTGGAAGGCTTGGGGCATTCATATAACATAAGTTGCATGAAGGAATGCAAGCTGGCAAAAACTGAGTAGTGCAAACCTATGATAAGTCCTCTTTCTAACATGTGATACTAATACTTCTCATGTGGGACTAGTGGTGGCAGCAGGTACCCGGCTTGAGAAATGTGGATGAGAGGCCACCTATTAGAAGGGTATACTAGTCTAGAAATACTTCGAATAACAGGCACACCAAATTGTGAGGCCATTAAGGACCAATTACTTGAATGAATCAATTTGAAAGTTACCAAGGTTTGACAGTGAGATATGGGGTGAATGCGGTGGGTAACTAGATATAGTTTGAACATAAATCCAGGTATAATCTAATACGTAGTAGGAACGTAGCATACTCTGGTAGGTTTAGATCATAGATAAAAATTGTCTAAGCTAGTATTTTTAAGATTATATGTAGCCATATAAGGCAAAAACTCAATATCTAATAAAGATACGAGGCAAAACCTCACCTTAACACCGAAAAAAAAAGAAATGCAAGCAACATTGGCAAATTAGGCTGAAATATAGGCCTGGTATCAATATGTTGAAGGATTTGATAAGTGAGTTAATGAAATATTAGAAAACAGTAGAATATCTATAAATAAAGCTAAATCTATAGCCTACAATGAAATTTTGGCAAAAAATTCTTATCTTACTAAAGATAGTTTGAAAAAGAAAACATAAAAAGCTAGAATTATATATAGTTTATTCAAAGTTATTGGTTTAGATAAACACAGATCCAACAATAAAATTTTGATACCTTTCAGCTAGCCAATAGGTCTAAGAAAAGTCATATATATCTTACAATATTTATCTGATAGGTACTATCTGATAGCTTACCACTATTTGGCACGTATCTGTGACCTATCGGCTTGGCACATATTAGCAAATTTCTGCAGCCTATATGCAAAATTTCTATAAAAATATCGGCTAGCCTATATTGGTAATAATTTTGTAAATATTCATATGATATTTACAAGATTTTGATGAAATTGCATTCCTGAATAATCCAAATTGTTAATATTACAAACTACTACATATGTATAAACTTTATTAATTAATTTTATTAATCAAAATTATTACAAATTTGAAATTATTATGCATAGAGATATTTTAATATTATCGTGTAACAAATATTTAACTAATTACTTAATCTACAAAACTATACTAAAAAATAAAGCAGAATAATTATGCCGAATTCATAAAGCTACCAAATTCACTACCAACAACAAGAAGCAAATGACAGCAATGGACAGAACTACTTATGAAGCCACTAACAATACACAAACATAACAAAGAAATAATTCAAGCCGAAGAAACGTCGAAGGGAAAAATTGAAACCACCTGATAAGAGAATAGGTGGTAGTTAAATATATTCAAAATCAAAACAACCAACAATATATAGTAATCACGCAAAGCCAGAAAAATTATTCAAGTCGAAGAAATGTTGAAGAGAAAGATCGAAACCCACCTGATAAGAAGAATGGGCAGTAGTTAAATATATTCAGAATCGAAAATAACCAACAATATATAGTGATAACCCAAAGCTGAAAAATAATTAAAGCTAAAGAAATGTCGAAGAGAAAGATCGAAACCACATGATAAGAGAATGGGTGGTAGTTAAATATATTCAAAATCGAAACAACTAATAATATATAGTGATCACCCAAAGCCAGAAAGATAATTCAAGTCAAAGAAACATCAAAGAGTAAGATCGAAACCCATCTGATAAGAGAATGGGTAGTAGTTAAATATATTCAGAATCGAAACAACTAACAATATATAGTGATCACCCAAAGCCAGAAAAATAATTCAAGTCGAAGAAACGTCAAAAAGAAAGATCAAAACCCACTTGGTAAAAGAATAGGTGGTAGTTAAATATATTGAGAATCGAAAGCAACTAACAATATATAGTAATCACCCAAAGCCAGAAAAATAATTCAAGCTGAAAAAACGTCGAAGGAAAAAAATCGAAACCCACCTGGTAAAAAAAAGAATGGGTGTAGTTAAATATATTCAGAATCGAAACAACCA